GGGCAGCTCTGCCGGCCCGGCTTTGCCCTGCCCGGGCTGATGTCCGCGGGCCAAGGCTTGGGTCTGGGGCGAAGTGCTCGGCCACGAAGCTTCTGGAGCTCCCAGCCCACTCCGGAGGCATCGGTGTCCCCGCGGGGCCAGCCTGCTCACGGGGCCCAGGCGCTCCCCAGGCGCTCCCCAGGCGCTCCCCATCTTCGCACACCAGCTGCCAGGTGGCGCGCACGTGGCTGGGGGGGTTGGGGGCGCCCGTGGGTGTGGGCGTGGCCCAGGTGGGGGCGGCCTACCTGCAGGCTGTAATTGGCTTTGCCACTGATGAGCTGCGTGATGAGCTCCGCTGTGTGCTGGAAGTGGATCTTCTCTGTGGGCAGAGAGAGGGGTGTTTGCCAGACTGCCCGGCCGCGCGGGCCCCCGCCTGGCGCCGGGCTCACCGTCCGCGGTGGCGTGGATGATCAGGAACTGCTGCTCTCCCAGCGCCGACACCCGGTGGGCCACCTTCGTCATCTGCACAGACGGGGGTCAGCGGGCCCGGGTTGGGGACACGAGCCTGGACGACGCTGACTTTGGGGGCCACGGTCACTCCCGCAGGGCGCGCAGGCCGGACCGGGCCCTGACGTCCGGGGGCGGGGTGGGGGCAGCCTCCCAGAGACCTGCCGGGCCCCCTGCGCTGCCCCCAGACTCACCTCGTAGGCCCTGTTGTCCAGTCCGTGGAGGCCGAGGTACCGCTCGGAAAACGCAGACGCTGGACAGGGCAGAAGAGGCGGTTAGCCCCGGGCGTGGGCGCCAGACCAGGGCCGGGCGCCCGGGGCCAAGGCCGTGTCTGGAAAACCCCCGCCTCTGGGTGTCCAGGGGTGACAGGCCGCGCCGACAGCCAGGGCCGGGCTGGCCAAGCAGCCGTCACCCCAAGGAGCCCTAATAAACAGGAGGACCCCAGCCGTCCAGCACGGGGGAGGGGCCGGGACGAGGGGCCCCGCCCCACACTCACTGCTCCGTGTCTGGGGCTCGCAGCGCCCCAGCCCAGACCCCTCCCGGCCCCGGGGGGCCCATCAGGGATGTGGGGGGCCGAAGCTGTCCTGGCTCGCGGTGGCCCCACCGCGGGCGCCTCAGGTGACAGGGCAGCAGGTGTCTGTGGGCGGGGCCGAGCCCGGGCGCCAGGGGCCTCACGGGCACCA